CCCACCCAATGACCAGGTGGCCATCTAAAAGCACCCACCCAATGACCAGGTGGCCATCTAAGGCACCCGCCCGATGTCCGTGTGGCTATCTAAAACACCCACCCAAATTCCTGGAACTCAAACAGAAGAACAAGTCCGGGAAATACCCCGCGCGGGTTCAAACCAGGTTCAAACCAACCAATCAGAGTAAGACACCTTGCTCAGGCCATAACCTGCTCCAATCATCTTGCGCCTCAAGCTTTGTAAATTTTTGTGGTTTTTTGCCTTTATAAACTGTCTGTACTAGGCATTCGGGGTCCTGTGGCCAACTTCGGACATAGGACCCTAGCGCGCTAGCAATAAATCTCTTCGCTGTGACTTCCGTGTCGAGTGGTCTCTCGCGACGACCCCTGCCCAGGAAGGAATCTAAAAACTAGGTTCCTACACTTACTCTTTATACGAAAATTAATTCAAGATGGATTAGAGACTTAAATGTTACATCTAAAGCCATAAAAACTCTAGAAGAAAACCTAGGTAATACCATTCAGGACATATGCATGGGGAAGGACTTCATGTCTAAAACACCAAAAGCAATGGCAACAAAAGCCAAAATTGACAAATGGGATCTAATTAAACTAAAGAGCTTGTGCACAGCAAAAGAAACTACCATCAGAGTGAACAGGCAACCTACAGAATGGGAGAAAATTTTTACAATCTACTCATCTGACAAAGGGCTAATATCCAGAACCTACAAAGAACTCAAACAAATTTACAAGAAAAAAACAAACAACCCCATCAAAAAGTGGGCAAAGGATATGAATAGACATTTCTCAAAAGAAGACATGCATACAGCCAACAGGCACATGAAAAAATGCTTGTCATCACTGGCAATCAGAGAAATGCAAATCAAAACCACAATGAGATACCATCTCACACCAGTTAGAATGGCAATCATTAAAAAGTGAGGAAACAACAGGTGCTGGAGAGCATGTGGAGAAATAGGAACACTTTCACACTGTTCGTGGGATTGTAAACTGGTTCAACCATTGTGGAAAACAGTATGGCTATTCCTCAAGGATCTAGGACTAGAAATACCATTTGACTCATCCATCCCATTACTGAGTATATACCCAAAGGATTATAAATCATGCTACTATAAAGACATGCACATGTATGTTTATTGCGGCACTATTCACAATAGCAAAGACTTGGAATCAACCCAAATGTCCATCAGTGACAGACTGGATTAAGAAAATGTGGCACATATACACCATGGAATACTATGCAGCCATCAAAAAGGATGCGTTCGTGTCCTTTGTAGGGACATGGATGCAGCTGGAAACCATCATTCTCAGCAAACTACCACAAGAACAGAAAACCAAACACCGCATGTTCTCACTCATAGGTGGGAATTGAACAATGAGATCACTTGGACTCGGGAAGGGGAACATCACACACCAGGGCGTATCATGGGGAGGAGGGAGCGGGGAGAGATTGCATTGGGAGTTATACCTGATGTAAATGACGAGTTGATGGGTGCTGACGAGTTGATGGGTGCAGCACACCAACATGGCACAAGTATACATATGTAACAAACCTGCACGTTGTGCACATGTACCCTAGAACTTAAAGTATAATTTAAAAAGAAGTTACAAATATATACTTTAGATATACATACTAGTTATATGTAAATTATACTTCAATAAAGCTATTAAAACAAAAAACTAATTTAATAAACATATACAAGATCTTAAAATTAGAATCAACTTAATAGGTTAATGAAGAGAGAAACATTAAAAAGAAACATTTACTTAATACTTTAAATGATAATATTTAAAGCACAACTTCCCCAAAACTCAACTGTTTATGTAAAGCTAATGAGAGACCATCAGGCTAGGAGGATAGAGGAGCCTTAATTTGGCCAAAGTATAGACACAAACAAAAGTTACAAATTATACACTTTAGATAAACATACTTGTTACATGTCAATTACATGTTAATAAAGCTATTAAAACAAAAACTTAAATTTAACAAACATATTAAATAATTGCCAGCAATTATTCTGGAAGTCACAGATATGCAACTTCTCCAGTTACTTCTGCAGATACCATCACTATTTTAGAACCTGAGGTAGGCCTTTTGAGATGTCTTTTCAGATTTTTTTGTATGTCTAACACCAATGGCTCCACCTGGATTCACCAACTGTTTCTATGGTCCCACCCAGAAGGAACTGCATGCAAAAAAACAGCTTCAACTCTCTATAAACTCATCTCCAATCCAACAAATCAGCACTCCACATACCCTAGCCCCCGGCCCACCAAGCGTTTTTGAAAAACCCCTAGCCTCTGGGCCTTCAATGAGATCACTTTGATGATAACTCTGTCTCCCCCATGGCATAGCCGGCCTCCCATCAATTAAACTCTGCAATGCCATGGTCTTCCTGAATTGATCTGTGTGTGCAGCAGGCAGGAAGAACCCTTCGGGCGCTTACACCACTCCAATCTTATGTAAATTCTTCCAAAGAATAAACAATGAGGGTACATTCTCTGTACGAATCAGTGTCTCTGCAGGAAAGAAATGGCATACTCACACAGGATATATGACAAGAGTTTAATGAATGACTGTAAACTAAAAATAAAATCCTAAGGCCCCCAAACATCTGAATGGACCCCTCCTCTTGGCCAAGGACATTCGAAAGTTAACCTGAAAAACTAGTTCAGGTGAAGATGGAAGGAGGAGTCAGACCTGCCTCATTATACCCATCTCCCTTTTGGAATTCAGGAAAAGCTGACCAAGGTTTAGCATCAACACAGACCTTAAGTATGATAAGAAACATTTACAATCTGTTCACTCTGAAGCCTGCCACTTGGAAGCTTCGTCTGCAGGATAAAACCTTGGTCTCCACAAACACTTATCACAACCCAGGCATTCCTTTTTATTGACAGTAACTCTTTGAACCAATTGCCAATCAGAAAATTTTTAAAACTACCTAAGACCTGGATGCCCCCACCAACCCCACCTCAAGTTGTCCTCTTGCTCTTCCAGATGGAACCAATGTAAATCTTACACGCATTGATTGATGTATTATGTCTCCCTAAAGTGTGTAAAAGCAAGCAGTTCTCTGACCACCTTGGGAACATGTCATCAGGACCTCCTGAATCTATGACATGGGCACATCCTTAGCCTTCGAAAAATACTTTCTAAATTGATTGAGACCTCTCTCAGATACTTTCTGGTTCACAGGCTTACGACTGTGCTGTGAGCAAAATTAAGGGAAAGCAATTAAAAAAGTGAGAAACCCAAGGCAAGTGAGAGCAACATATCTAATGAGAGGCAAGGAAAAGGAGCCATTTCTACAGTCCAGTGAGACCTGTGACTGCAGGAGAGGCCAAGGTCACAGGAGAAATGCAGCCACTGCCAAACTGTAGCCCTGAAAAAAACCAAAGGGCAACGTTGCCCAGTGATGCAAATCCAGAAAAGGTCAGGTCCTGGGGTACAAAGCAGGCTATGGAATGAAGACTAACTCTGTTGGAATAAATATAAATCGCCTCTACATCCCCCAATTCACAATGAGCTAGTATCATCCTGACACCAAAATCCAACCACTCAAGGACATAGACAAAATGTTCTATGCAAGATATTGGCAAAGTGAATGAAATTACATATAAAGAATACTATATGCTGATTAAGGAGGATTTACACCAGAAATGCAAGGTAGGTTTCAAATTACAAAATTATTTGATGTAATTTAACACATTCAGAGACTAAGGAAAAGAAAACTGTATGCATATTTCATTAAATGCAAATGAGATGTGTTATAAAATTCATCTTTTCTTGATTTAAAAAATTCCTTCACAGAGGGTGCAGTGGCTCACGCCTATAGTTCCAGCACGTTGGGAGGCCGAGGTGGGCAGATCACTTGAGCCAGGAGTTCGACACCATGTTGGGCAATACGGCAAAATCCTGTCTCTACAAAAATTACAAAAAATAGCCACGTGTGGTGGCACCTACCTATAATCCCAGCTACTCAGGAGGCTGAGGTGGGAGGATTTCTTAAGCCCAGGAGGATGAGGCTACAGTGAGCCATGACTGCACCACTGCACTTCAGCCCAGATAACAAAGCATGACCCTGTTTCAAAACAAAAATTAAAATTCTCTTAGAAAATAGAAATAGCGAGCCAAGTGCGGTGGCTCACGCCTGTAATCCCAGCACTTTGGGAGGCCCGGACGGGCAGATCATGAGGTCAGGAGATCAAGACCTTCCTGGCTAACATGGTGAAACCCTGTCTCTACTAAAAATACAAAAAATTAGCCAGGCGTGGTGGCCGGTGCCTGTAGTCCCAGCTACTCGGGAGGCTGAGGTAGGAGAATGGTGTGAACCCAGGAGGTGGAGCTTGCAGTGAGCTGAGATCCAGCCACTGCACTCCAGCCTGGGTGACAGAGCGAGACTCTGTCTCAAAAAAAAAAAAAAAAAAAAGCAACTTTAAGCCATCACACCTCCTATTTCACACCTAGTAGATTATCAAACTTTTAAAGTTTCACAAAGAGAGTGTTGGCAGTAAGAGTTGGCAACCAAAATAACCATAAACTCTGGTAGGAGTGAAAATTGGTACAACTTTGGAAAACAGTTCATCATTGTACAGTAAAGTCATAGATGGGAATATACTTTGCACAAGCCAGTCTTTCCTTATTACATACTCTAAGCCTTTAGAGGAAGCCAGCTGATGCCACAGTGTTTTGTAAAACTGTAGCTGCTATAGGAATTCACCACCACACCCACAGGACACACCAAGGTAGAAGTGTCAGAGGTGTTTAAACCAGAGCAACTCCATCTTGAATAGGGCCTGGGTAAAATAAGGCTAAGACCAACTTCCCAGACACTTGGGACATTCTAAGTCACAGGATAACATTGAAGGTTGGCACAAGATACATGTCAGGTCATAAAGGCCTTGCTGCTTAAACAGGTTGCAGTAAAGAAGCCAGCCAAAACCCACCAAAATCAAGATGGCGAGGAGACTGACCTTTGGTGTCCTCACTGCTCCTTATGTGTCCAGAATGGGTTCCTTCTGGTGGGTTCGTGGTCCCACTGGTGTCAGGAGTGAAGCTGCAGGCCTTCGCAGTGACTGTTACAGCTCATAAAGGCGGTGTGTCTGGAGTTGTTCATTCCTCCCAGTGGGTTGGTGGTCTGGCTGGCTTCAAGAGTGAAGCTGCATCTAGCTGCATCTAGACCTTTGCGGTGTTACAGCTCATAAAAATAGTGCAGACCCAAAGAGCAAAAGAATAAAACACTTCACCCTGTGGAAGGGGACCCCAGCGGCTTGCGGCTGCTAGCTCCGATGGCCAGTTTTTATTCCCTTATTTGGCCCCGCCCACATCCCACTGACTGGTCTATTTTACAGAGTACTGATTGGTCCGTTTTTACAGAGTGCTGATTGGTGCATTTACAAACATTTAGCTAGACACAGAGTGCTGATTGGTATGTTTACAAACCTTTAGCTAGACACAGAGCGCTGATTGGTGCATTTACAATCCTTCAGCTAGACAGAACAGTTCTCCAAGTCCCCACCTGACCCAGAAGCCCAGCCACCTTCACCTCTCAGTTATATGCTAATTATATGCATTAGCACACTAAGAGACACTCTCACCAGTGCCACGACAATTTACAAATGCCATAGTAAGCTTCAGAAGTTACCCTGCATGGTTTAAAAAGTGAGGAAGCCCTCAGCTCCGGGAAATTGCCCACCTCTTTCCTGGAAAACTCATGAATAATCCACCCCTTGCTTAGCATATCATCAAGCAATAACTACAAGTATCCTTAGTCCAGCAGCCCAAGCTGCTGCTCCAACAGTGGAGTACCCATTCTTTTGTTTCTTTACTTTCTTAATACACTTGCTTTGTCTTTGCACTGTGGACTCCCGTGGATTTTTCTTGTGTGAGATCTAAGAACCCTCTCTTGGGGTCTGGACCAGGACCCCTTTCTGGTAACAAGCACCACTTCACGAAGATCATGCAGGTCAGTACTTACTAAGTACAAAAAAGTCTATAACCACACTATTTATCATTTTAAAAATAAGTGAAGTCAATTGACATTTAAGTGTTAAAAAGAAAGTAAACAACCCAAATACACATAAAGAGTACCTGCTCTGGCTTGCATGCAGAGAGGTTCATTGCCCCTTTGGGTGGGTCGGGCAAGGTCAGAGCCTCAGAAGCACTTCTGGGGAGACGGGGTGTCAGGCGCTGATGGCTGCGGAAGGAGTGACTCCTCCCAGGATGAAAGTTTCCGTCCTCCCAGTGCTCACTCAAATTCAGTATTTCTAAGTAATTCCAGGGGGCGTAACGCGCCTCAGAACGGTCATTGGTGTCACAGATACGTGTCCCCTTGCATTTCCAGGAAATGTCCTTGGTTGGCGAACTACAGTCGTGATAGTCGGGTCACAGGGCGTTTTGTGAGCTATCCTCTTGGACAAATGAAGGACAAAAAACCAAAAAGAGCTCTGAAGATGAACTGCATAGCAGCACGGTTTGGGATGAGAGGGGCCCCCTTGCTAGCAAAGGCGAGCACTTCCGCGGTACCAGCAAGGGCTGCACACGTCCCGAAGGGAAACGTTTGTGTGAGCGCAGGAATGAGCCGGAAGACCTCGGCGCGGCTGCAGAGTTTTCTGGGAAATGTAATTTCTTGGTCCAGGCGCCATGACCCTTATAAGTAGAGGGTGTCCCTTGGTTCCGAGGTGTATCGTTCACCAGAGGACGACAGTGTGCCCCAGGACACTCCGCGTGGTCCTAGCTGGCCGGCTCTGGCTCGACAGCCCCAGGCGGCTTAGCTTCTTACGAAGCCATGACCGGTTTACCCGCTGCGCACAAGGTCCGCGCAGCCGCACAGACCCTTGGGAAGTGTGGTCTTCCGGTGCCGGCGGTTCGCGGCACCGGGGACAGGTGTCCCGCACGCGGAGGATTCTGGGAAATGTGGTTCGGCCGTGGGTACACGAGGTCAGTCCCGCGATAACCTCAGGGCTGGAGGCAGATTCCAAGCTAAGGAACGGTTTGGGGCAGTGTCGTTCCCGGAGGTCGGCGGCCGTTACCTGCTCACCAGCTACGCGGCGCGTCAGGTCCGCGGAGACGCGAGCTCCGGGCGCCTGCGGGGACGGTGAGGCCCTGCTGAGGACTCCGGCAAGTGTGGGTCCCGGGGACGACGGCGGGGCTCAGGCCTTGCGTCCGCCCCGCGGTTTGACACCGGCCGGGGCTTTGGCATTTCCTGCCCTTCGTGTCGAGTCGTGTAAACGCGGGGTGATGACGGCGCCGACCTCTTGGCACTGTTGTGAGAGCGAAGTGGGTGCGAGAGCAGACACCAGCCGCAGTTGTTTTGGGGTTATGTTGTCATCAAGCCGGCGCTTTCAGTTGTGTAACCTTGAACAAATAGGTTCTGTATCTCGGAATATCAGTTTTGTCTTCATTTAAAAAAAATATATATGGTTTAGAACTCCTGACCTCAAGTGATCCGCCTGCCTCCGCCTTCCAAAGTGCTGGGATTAAAAGCTTAAGCCACCGCACCAGCCTGGCCAACATGGCGAAACCCCGTCTCTACTAAAAATACAAAAAAAAAAAAAAAAAAAAATTAGCTGGGCGTGGTGGCACGTGTGTGTAATCCCAGCTCTTCGGGAGGCTGAGGCAGGAGAATCGCTTGAACCTGGGAGGCGGAGGTTGCAGTGAGCCGAGGTCGCTCCATTGTACTCCAGCCTGGGCGACAGAACGGGACTCCGTCTCAAAAAAAAGAGACAAAAAGAAAAAAGAAATCTGGAATAATGTGAATGTCCACCGTGCAAAGTGGTGAAGATTGAACAAGCTGATAGTTATTACTGTTGTTTTATCAGTCTTTTATATACAGAATAACTGATTTTCCCCGCAGGTGGCACCTGGTAAACGGTTAGCCCTTGCGGAGAAACACCCTGTTAGTTCCCAGGGAGACACTGGCGCCCCGGAGAGTGATTACCAGTGTGCCTTTCCATTATGGTGTGTCACAGGTGCCAGCCTTATTTTTCATGACTACTGTTTCCTGTCCTTCTGTGCCCTCAGGACACTGCCCATCTGTAAGATAAGAGCCTGGAAAGGGGACTCTATTGGCTATTGGAAATTGCAGAATAATGGCCCAGGTAAGTCGGTGTGTCCCCAAGTCTTCCTGAAACACTTCATGAGGCCTCTGTGTGTTTGCTTTGCTTCTGCCTGTTCCCACCTAATCAAGTCCATTTAAGGGACTGGATCTATGGTTCCTTTCACTATAGGAAGGATGGAGCCCACAAGAGAACACCAAGGTATTGCTCTCTTCACCCAGTGTTCCTCTTTTCTACAGTTTTCTGCTAGAAGACTTTCTAGATTGCCAAAATTTTTAAACTGTAATTCACAATGCAACTTTGGAATGTAAGGTTATTTGGTTTATGGTTGTCAAAACTGTACCATATGGTCTCAAGTGAAGAGATGTTTGGAGTCATCCTTGATTCTTCCTTTTGACTTATAACTAATATTCCGGTCCTCTAGTTGGATCTAAACGATACACGTGTACAGCATCTAACCATTAGCTAGCCCATCACCACCACCACCACTACCACCCCAGTCTGAGCCACCTGGATTATTGGGGTAGCCTCCTAGCTGTATTCCCAGCATCTGCCCTTAACCCGCATCGATCTATTCTCAGTACAACTGTTACTGTGATCCTATTGTTATATAAATTCCTGTCATTCTTCAACCTAAAATTTTTCAGTGGCTCTAACTGAATCACTTCTGCAGTGACCTATTTGTACAGTTAGGCCATTACCTCTCTGATCCCACCTTCCTTCTCTGCCTCCTCATTCCTTTGAGCTCTAGCCACTGTCACCAGTTGCTGTGCCATCCATGTGGAATATTCTTCCCCTACATATGCATAAGCTTGCATCCTTATCTCCTTCATGTATTTGTTCCGTGGTTACTTTCTCAGAAAAGCTTCCCTGAACGCCTATTTGCAATTGCAGTCACCTTCCCTTGACCAGCACTTCCACTCCTCCATCACTGCTTTGTTTTCCACGGCGCGTGTCACTCACTAGCTGATGTACTGTATGTTCAGTATATGCACCTGCTCATTGTCTGTTCCTGGTGGGAGGAATGTTTTTTCTTTTTTGTTGACTGCTGTAGCTTCAGTACCCAGAGTGTTACCTGGCACCAAATAGATTAGTAAGTAATTGTTGGGTGAATAAGATGAGTAATGAAGAACTGGTGGGGCAGAATCATGGCATGGAAGGTGAAGCTTTCACAGGAGGGGATGTAAGTAGCAGATGTACATGTTGGGTGAAGTCTGTTTTCCTGGAATAATTAGATAATTAGAACTGAAAAACTGGCATAGTGGTACATGCCTGTTGTCCCAGCTACTTGGGAGGCTGATGAGGTGGGAAGATTTCTTGAGCCCTGTGGTGTAAGGCTGTAGTGAGCTATGATTATGTCACTGCACTCCAGCTTGGTGACAGGGCAAGAACCTGTCTCTTAAAAAAAAAAAAAAAAAAAAGGAAAGGCTAAAGTGAGCTAATACCAAAACCATTCATTGGTTCATCTTCTAAACACTTACGAAGTACCTGTTAGGAAAAGTTGTGCATGGATTTCAATGTACACTGACACACAGAACTTCATGATCTAGTGCAGTATTGTCTAAGAGAACTTTCTGCAGTGATGGAAGTGTTCTGCATGTGTACTAGTCGGTACGGTAGCCACCAGCCCTGTATGACTATTGAGTACTTGAATTTTGGCTTAAGCAACAGAGGAAATGAAGTTTAAATTTTATTTAATTATTTTATTTTTACATTTTAATTAATTTAAATGTTATAGCCAGGTTGGCTAGTGGCTCCTGTGTTGAAGATTGCAGCACTGGTAAAGAAGTAAGAAAGCATAAGAAATTTAAATAAGTGCTAGCATAGATATCCTATGTTCTTTTGGGGGCTCAGATGAGTGAACATCTCAAGCTGCCCGGGCAACTGAAGGAGAAGAAAGAAGCATCCTGGCTCTAAGTTGTAATGACTGGTTTGTCAAAGATATGAGAAATGTTATTTTTATTTGGGATATAGGCAACTAACACAGTGGCAACTCCAATTAACAGGTGAATTTAGAATAAATTTTGTGTAGCAAATTGAACTGTCAAATCTTACTTGAGGATAAGTTATTGTTTATTTGGAAAACATGTGTTGGATTGTATCTGCTTGCCTATATAAAAAGATGAGATTTCTTCTTGTCCTTTTAATCTCAATAGTGGATTGCTTGTGAAGTGCCTCAAGGTCTGATTTAATGCTTATTCAGTAATAAAACCGTTTTCTTTTTGTTTCTACATTTGTGGAGAGGATTTTCTGCCATTGGAAGGAGGTTTGAATTTTAATTGTTTTCCCCAAACCTGAGAAAAGTAAATTCTGGCTTTGAAACCAAAGACCCATGTCACTTGTGAACATGCACGCAAAATATCCAAATAAAGTGCTACAATACTGAATGAACTCTCAGAGCTAAAAAATTACCACAGTAGAGCAGTCTGTTTTACAAATCACAGACAGTAATAATGCTGTATTAAATGGATGTACTTTTTGCACATATTGTAATTTGACTAGCCAATAAGCTACTATTGAATATTTAAGCTTCTAAAGTTTTACTATTTTAAATAATACTGTGAAATGAGTACTATTGAGAAGAATTTCTAAGTACATCTGTGAGCATTTTTTTAGAATATTTTCTTTGAAATGTGCTCTTTTGTTTTTTTCTGTTACTTCCAGGTCCTATTTAAGGACTGTCTATGGCAGGAGTCCTCAACCTTTTTGACACCAGGGATCAGTTTTGTGGAAAACAATTTTTCCATGAAAGTGGGAGGTGCTGGAGGTAGTGGTTTGGGGACGAAACTGTTCTACATCAGATCATCAGGCGTTAGTTAGATTCACATAAGGAGCGTGCAGCCTCGATCCCTTGCATGCGCAGTTCACAGTAGAGATTGCGCTCCTGTAGGAATCTATGCCAGAGCTGATCTGACAGCAGGCGGAGCTCCGGTGGTAATGCTCACTTCCCTGCCACTTACCTCCTGCTGTGTTGCCCCATTCCTAAAAGCCACAGACCAGTACCAGTCCGTGACCGGGCGGTAGACCCCTGATCTATGACATCTTCAGTCTTTTCACCCAGGAGTCTCATATTTCAATTATTAAATGTTTGTCAGTACTCAGTTTAAGTATACACCATAAATATATTTTTCTTTTTTGTTTATGAATCAGTTATGTGTATGTTTTAGTCTATTTGTGCTGCTGTAACAGAATACCCCAGACTGAGTAGTTTATAAATAATGAAAATTGACTTCTCATGGTTTTGGTGCCTGGGAAGTCCAAGACTAAGGGGCAGACATCTGGCAAAGGCCTTCTTGCTGTGTCATTTTATGGTGGATGGGCAAAGAGAAGAGAGAGAGGCAAAGGGGGGCCTGAACTCATTTTTTTAAATAAGGAACCCTCTCCCCCAATGATGACATTAATCCGTTCATGAGGACAAAGTCCTCAAGGCCAATCATCTCCTAAAGGTCTCACCTCTCAATACTATTAGAATGGCGATTGAGTTCAATATATGCTTTTTTAGGGAATACAATCAAACCATATGTCTTATCAGTCTTTAATATAAAGATGTCTTTTTTTCTGAACCCATTTTTTGTGAGCTTTAGTGAATCTTCCTGAGTATCCCATTTGAGAGACAATCACTGTAACCTTATTTTTAATTACTTATTTTAATTACTTATTTTTAATTACTAGCACTTAAACTCTAAAAGATATAACTAAATACTTGACTCTGTGCTGTCAAATGTCAAATGTTGCTTTTTAAAAATTCATATAATTCTAAACTTTTAACAAAATTTACTGAAGTGAAGCTATCATATTTGTCTCTCATTCTTATTGTGTAAAAATTCTAACTACATAACTGTCCCCTTTATTGTATGTTAATTCCAACTACATAACTGTCCTGTTATTACTTAACGGAAATCACATTCCCAATCATTGTTACAACTCCTGAATCTTGTTTCATTTCTTCCACAAGCAGGCTGATTTTACCCCTTCTTCAGTGACAGAAGAGGCCTGGGCTATGACTGAGCTTAAATATATTTGCTATTTCAGGTGACATTTAGTGATGTGGCTATAGACTTCTCTCATGAAGAGTGGGCATGGCTCGATTCTGCTCAGAGGGACTTATACAAGGATGTGATGGTCCAGAATTATGAGAACCTGGTCTCTGTAGGTAAGGATATCACCCCTTCCACTCCAATAGGGGACACCTTTCTTTTGCCACTCTGAATTGCTGGAGAGCCTCCTAAGTAAATGGCTGAATATCTGTAGCATGTTCCCAAGGAAATGTGCAGCTCTGTTGTGCCCTGCCTGAAGCTTATCTTTCCATTTCAGTGAACACCCTTCATCCCTTCTTGTGGTCCCTCTTGTGATGGCCTCTCATAATAGAGGACCACAGCTTAAACAAGTCTATTTTCTTCCTGTAAGCAGGTCTTTCCGTAACTAAGCCATATGTGATCATGTTATTGGAGGATGGAAAAGAGCCCTGGATGGTGGAGAAAAAACTGTCAAAAGGTGTGATTCCAGGTGAGTCATGGTGAACGAGACTAAGGAAGTTTTTGTTAAAAGATGTTTATAGTGAGTGTGGAGGTATTTTACGGATACTGTCTTCAAAGATCTCAAATAGAAATGAAAAATTGAGGGATATTTAGCTTATATTTTCAAAACAATTACTTCTCCCTCTAAAATTATTATCTGTATCACTCATGTCATCTAATCAAGGTTAGAGATAATTCAAATTGTTACTATATTCATGACTAAGACAATTTATTCTTTCTTAATTCTACTTAAGCAAAATATACTAATAGTTTTAAGCTAAGAAAAGCTGTCTATTAGATGGAAAATCACTTTTCTAAATTTGTAGATGAAATATGAACATATTAGAGGAAGTAAGGGACATATAAATATGTTTCTAGGAATAATATTTTCTAATGTTTAAGAAATAATATGATTCACACAGTTTCTTCATAACCTCAGAAAGCCTAAATCCTTGTGAACATTTAGATTACTTTGTTTTTACTGCAATTGTTTAATGTAGTAGTATCAATTCTGTATTTTAAGCTTGATAATCTGGCAGCAAATTGAGATTAATGGAAGGTTGGAGAAAAAGGCTATGAGACAAAATGCAATCTTTCCCACATGAATATAGGCACAAAAAGATGATTTGTAATCCAGAATGCCTTCTACATCTTATTTCTGATAGTTTCCTTTTTTTCAATACTATTTTATCCATTTTGTATAGTTTACCCATTTCCTTTATCACACTCTGTTCCTACTTCTGTGAACTTTCTATTCTCTGCTCCATTTGAGCATTGTTCAGAAGTCACTGAAATATTTTGAGTTGTCAGAGCTATGTGTTTTTTGGGGGCTTCATTTCTTATCCATTTCTCCTAATTCCACTGTAGAAGTTTTTTTCAAGAAGTGGGAAAAAAAAAAAAAAAAGCAGTGCTTTGCTTTCTTGATATATTTCAGATTGGGAATCAAGATGGGAAAACAAGGAATTATCAACAAAGAAGGATATTTACAATGAAGATTCACCCCAAACAGTAACAATAGAAAAAGTTGTAAAACGACGTTTTGAATTCTCAAATTCTAATAAGAATTTGGAATATATAGAATGCAACAAATTTAGAAGCACCTTTCATTCAAAGTCTACTCTTTCTGAACCACAAAACAATTCTGCTGAAGGGAATTCACACAAATATGATATATTAAAGAAGAATGTATCAAAAAAGTCAGTTATAAAAAATGAGAGAATCAATGGTGGAAAGAAGCTTTTGAATTCTAATAAAAGTGGGGCAGCCTTCAACCAGAGCAAATCTCTTATCCTTCCCCAGACTTGTAATAGAGCTAAAATCTATACATGCAGTGAATGTGGGAAAGCCTTTGGCAAACAGTCAATCCTCAATCGCCATTGGAGAATTCATACAGGAGAGAAGCCGTATGAATGTCGTGAATGTGGGAAGACTTTTAGCCATGGCTCATCCCTTACACGGCATCAGATAAGTCATAGTGGAGAGAAACCTTACAAATGTGTTGAATGTGGGAAGGCCTTTAGCCATGGCTCATCACTTACTAACCATCAGAGCACTCACACTGGAGAGAAACCATATGAATGTATGAACTGTGGAAAGTCTTTTAGTCGTGTGTCCCTTCTCATTCAGCATCTAAGAATTCATACGCAAGAAAAACGCTATGAGTGTCGTATATGTGGAAAGGCCTTCATTCATAGTTCATCTCTCATTCATCATCAGAAAAGCCATACTGGAGAGAAACCTTATGAATGTAGAGAATGTGGGAAAGCTTTCTGCTGTAGCTCACACCTTACTCAACATCAAAGAATTCACAGTATAAAGAAAAAGTTTGAATGCAACAAATGTCTCAAAGTCTTTAGTAGCCTGTCATTTCTTGTTCAACATCAGAGTATTCATACTGAAGAAAATCCTTTTGAAGTTTAGAAATGCAGGAAATCCTTCAACCAGCTTGAATCACTGAATATGCATTTGAGAAATCACATTAGATTGAAACCCTATGAATGCAGTATATGTGGGAAAACCTTCAGTCATAGGTCATCCCTGCTTCAACATCACAATTCATACTGGAGAGAAACCTTACGAATGTATTAAATGTAGGAAGACCTTCAGCTGTAGTTCAAACCTTATTGAACTGCATCAATAAATTTCACTATAATCAGTTCATACAGAGTTTATACATCAGAATTCATACTGGAGAAAAGCCATATAAATGTAATGAGTGTGGAAAAGCTTTTAGCAAAGGCTCAAATCTTACTGCCCATCAAAGAGTACATAATGGAGAGAAACCCAATAATATGGTAAGTGTGGAAAAGCCTTTAGATCATATGAATCACTATACATGTGAGAAATCTTACAGAAGAGAAACTATTTGAAGCAGTGTTTATCATGGTAAACTTCATAGATCCTCCCTTATTTAACATCAGAAAAAATTTATACTGGCGAAAAGTTGTATGAATGTGGTGAATATGGGAGACTTTTAGCAATGATGCAGACATTTTTATTTATCAGAGTTTATACTGTAGAGAAATCATATGAAGTCAATAAATGTGGGAAAGCCTTTGTCAGTATTAATCCCTTAATTGACATAAGTGTACTCACACTAGGAAAAAACTGTGTACATGTAGCAAACGTGGGAAAGACTACAGGCAATAGGAATCTCCTACAAACTCCTACAGGAAAAAAGTTGTATAAATGTGGAAAATTTAGAAATTGAAGGAATTCTTCAGTTCCAAGTGCATCCCTTATTCTACAGGAAATAAACTGGAGAGAAATCTCATCATGTAAGAGATGTAGCAAAGTGTTCACTAAGAGTGTTTATCTTGCTAGACATCAGAAGATGAATGGTAGAGCAACCTGAAGGATTTAGAAATTACATGTAAATCTGCAGTGGTGCTATTTGTAAACAGGATTCTATAGGAGAGCAAATAAACATAAGTATGCCTTTCTTAGAGCAGTAGCTTGCAGTTTCAGTTGAGTTCTACTTAGAAATTCTTTTTAGCTAGTGGGCATGTGAAGATATTTAGTCACCCAGAGAAGCCAGTAAATATTAAAATGTTAAAAATTAAACCTGCAAAAGAAGTAAAATGGTGTTAATAAAAGTTTGGTATCTAATAAGATCATTTTGTATATCATGAAGTCTTTCTCTGTGACTGTTTCTGGCAAAAAAATTTCACTAGTCTTAATATAGTCTTTAGTGGGAGACTAGCAAACTTCGAGAAAAATGGCCTGCTCTTTATACTAAGAATAGCAGTATTTTGGTGAGGATTATTCAGAGTCCATTTCCAGTAGGCTTAATTAAATACATTTCAAGAAAATTTACTGAGCATCACTCATGTGTATTACACAGGGATGGGATGTAGGAGTCCAGTAGTTCTGAGCTCTAGTGGTGTGTCAAAATCACTGGAAGGACTTGTTAAAGCACAGATTGCTAAGCCTCAATCCTAGAATTCCTGTATGAGTTGATTTGAATTTGCATTTTTCATACATTCTTAGGGGCCACTAACACTGTCCAGAATATAATAATAATGTTATGATGTCACTGACAACATACTATTTTCTCAGTCATACCTATTAACCATTCCTTGAGTATCTTCTGTGGACCTAATAGATAAGAAGCACTTCGTACTCTTTAAGAGCTCTGAGGTGTGTGTGTGTGTGTGTGTGTGTGAAGAGCGTTAAGCTTTGGAGTCTTGTTACCTGGGTTTAAATCCAAGTTGCATGTATACTGGCTTTGTGTGACCTTGGACCAACTTCTTCACTGTCATGCCTCAGTTTCTCCATCTGTAAAATGGTAATAAAGCTATTTCACAGCATTGTGAAAATTAAATGAGTTAATTGATGCACAATGTTTACAACAATTCCTGGCCTCTCAATAGCATTCAGTAAGTATTAGCTATTGATTTCATCTTCATCATCTCCTCATAGTTGCTTCATCATTCTGGTCTCAGATGTCACATCTAATCACTTGTTGCTCTTATCTGTTTACTGTTTCACATTTTTGGGGGAGAGCTCTTACAAAACACCCCCGTTTCCTTCCAACAAATCCTTTAGTATCTGAGCCATTTTGAGGGAATGTTTCTTGCCTAAAATAACCTGAGGAGAAACAAAGAGACCAGGTAGGAGATAAGATGAGAGTTCAACAGGTCTGTGAGAAGGAAGGAGGGCGCCCTACAGAGTTGGGAAATGGGCTGAGTGAAGGAGGCATCAGGCTTCCACATGGAGGAAAGGGGAGGTTTTACCCACTGAGACCAGAACACTACAGGTCTTCAGCAGCATCTGTGAGTACAGCATCCCATGGGCTAGGTGCCACTGCCTTCACTCTTCTGAATTGAAGTTACAGCCTGTCAATGAAGGTCACCGATGCCTGGAAAGTCAGAGTTTCCTTGTTAGCCTTGGGCCAGTCAGATGTGATTAGAACTCAGTTGTTGATAAACACCTAGAAAGAAGCAAGGCACATACCACTGAGTACTTCCTGGGAGCTTAATTCTTTGCTGCTGATGGGGAGTCAGTCTTTAAACAAATTGCAGTTGTGTTAGAGGAAAACAGCTTTATATGCAGAAGTAATTGATGCAAGATACAAGACAATGACAATGCTGTATGGTGCAGAGTGTAAGCACTCTGGCATCAAATAGGGAAAAATAATGATCATAATACAATACCGTTAATAGCAACAACTGCGCCTTATGTTTGCTTTGTGTGCTGCATTCAGACAAATGCTCTCAGCTCTGGACACAAATTGCTAGGTGTGAATTCAGCCTATTGGGACTGTCACTTGCTTAATCTATAAATTTGGGGAAGTCACTTCATTTCCCAATTTCTCCATCAAAACAAAAATATTTCCCATCTTACCAGGTGGTTGTGAGAATTAAAAGATTTATAAAGCAAGCACCAAAGTGCCTCTGCATGGAAGTTTGTTGCTGTGTTTTCCCTGCTTTTAATAATCTTCCCACATACTGTAAGGTAAATATGGTCACCATCTTCATGCTAGTGACCTGAGTCTCTCTCAGAGTCACACATCTTAGGAATATAGGCTACATTTGAACATTCAGTAAAAGACCAAACAATATTGCCCTCCTAGGACAGATCTCAGAAGACGGGGATTTCTCTTGGCAACCATACAGGCTGTCTTGCCTACTTGAACAAAAAACATTTCCTTTGGTCATGCCGTTTCTTCTGCCTAGAATGTGTCCCATACCCCATTTATTACCACGCTTACCTAATGCCATTGGAGGCGTGCCTACCTTGCAAAGCTCACTAGGTGTGTCAAAGATAAACAAAGCTGGACATTAATGACAGTGGTGAGAACAGACTGATAACTATTGCAATGGGGAAAGGAATTTGGCATGAAGTGAACTCAGTTTTGATTTGTACAAAGGTGAATGAGTACGTTAAAGGGAAGGTGAAGAAATTGGGTGTGGTGAGGAGGGGTTCAGTGGACTCAGAAAAGTGAAAAATTACAAAACACAGGAAGGGAGGGGGCTGGTCTGTGTGCAATGTATCTGGGTTTGCTGCTGGCACTTTGAGTTAGGCTCCTATCCTGCCACAGAGCCTGGGAGACAGGGGCCTTATCTTCAGGTGTTGACTAGAAGAAATTCTTTGGACGGCCTTTAGTTTTTCAGGCATCATTAGAAAGTGTTAGTGTTGTTCAAATCTTAATAGGCCACAGCTGACAGGCCTATTCAAGAAGGCTCAGAGGGGCCTGGGTAGAGTTTGGTCAAAGAAAATTTTTGTCAGTTGTCACCCTAGGCTTCCCCAGCCCACTGAGGAGGAATGGTGGTGAAGAAGAAAGAACATAGGCTCAAGGGATCAAGGTACAGGGTGTGAGTTTCTGCCAAGAGTTGTGTGACCCTGAGAAGGTAACAAGTTTTCCAAATCTCAGGTTCCTTTTCTGTAAAGCAGGAATAATAGAAACTAACTCTGAGGAAATTAGGATTAAATGAAGTGCTACCTAAGTTACCCTCAGAGCTCAATAAATGTACTCATTGTTATTTTGCCTCTTTTGCTTTCACACCACCCTGGCACACCCAACCAAGTCCAGATCTCTACTTTTGTAAGTGTGCCACGTTCCCTGCGCAAAGATTCCAGAAGATAAGAAATACTTAACCTAGAACCAGCAAGGCCAAAAATATATATATATATATTTCTCCTAGTAGATGACATTGGTGCAGAACAGGGAAGGATGCAAGGGAGGAGAGGAGAGGGAGAGGCACTGCGGAAATCTGGACTCAGTGTCCCAGGCAGAGGGGAAAACTGAGAAGTGGGAAAGAGTTTGGAATGATCAGGACAGGTTGGCAGGAGAGCAGTGAGCAAAGGAAGATGGAATAGAGGACAGATTTCTAGGACTGTATCTCTTTAGAAATAGCATCCAGAAGGTCCCTGCATGGTGCTGGGCACCGGGAACACACACATTAGCCATCTTTGGTACTCTCACCTCAACTGAATGATGGTTAATATTTCCCCTTTAAGACTTTCTTTAGGAAAATGGAGGTGAAAGGTAGCAAGGTAGCTTGCACAAGGCCACAGCCTTGAGATAGGGCACAGCACGATCTGAACATGTTTCTGGATTCTGCAGGCCATGCTCTCCCGAGGATCTGCACATGCCACTGTATATGAATGGTGGGGGTACTAAGAAGTTATAGTTCATACTTCCCCACCACATACCACTGATTTCCAGAAAGAGGAATTTTTTCTTATAATACTTGATGTAAGTTTAGGACTCTGGATTGAGAGTGAGCCTATTAGCAGGAAGAGAAGGCCTGAAGAATCCCAGGATGCCACGATCTTCCATGTCAGTGTACCACAGCCATGTGGTTGAGAGTTCAAGAATATGAGACTGGGGGATAGTTAACACATCTGTGCTAGGAGGGAAGCAACTGTATCAGTACTTCAGACTCAGCTGAACTCTCTCCCAGGCCCTACAAAACTGTCTAGATGGGTCCTGTCCTTCTTACTGGCCTTCCTAGCTTGGTCCCAAAGAGCCACCTGCACCCACTGGGTGGTGTGGGTAGGACAGGTCATGTGATAAATGAAAGTTCACCCTGCCAGTACCAAAAGTCCAGCCCATGAGAATGCAGGCTGCAGGAAACACTCCTGTCTCAGGCTGTCATGTGGGTATGAAGCACATCCTTCTGGGTAATGTAGCTCTTCACATTCTCTGAGGCAATAGCTAAGTTGCACCCAGAGGGGCACTAGGAAGGAGCATCAAAAGACTCTCATGATGAGAGTGGTACTTCACATCGGTTCTTATGAAGGGGCTTTCTTGTATGGATAGTTGTTCAATTTGGTGTTTAGGAAGGAAAGAATGATCACTGGAGGATTCTTTTCAACTATTTTATCCTACTTCCTCCCAAAACATATATTTTTTTTCTAAACATGTTTTTGGATCTTTTTAAAAATACATCTGTGTTTTGTCAAGTGTTCCTTTACTCTCTTGAATATATCATACAATTTTAATAACTGTTTTAATATACTTGTTTCCCAATTCTACAATGTGTGTCATTTCTGGGTCTATTTTTACTGGTTGATTGTTCTGATAATAGGCCATACTTTTCTGCTGATTTTGCATTGTAATTAAATGCAAAGTAATTAAGTAATTAAAATAATTCCTTTTCTGGTAATTATTTTTCAATGCAAAATATTGTGAAATTAAAATTTTTTTAGGTGCTGGATAACTCTGCATTTCTACAAATATTCTTGAGTTTTGTTCTGTTACTCAGTTATTTGGAAATAGTTTAACCCATTGGAAACTTTTTGCAAGTTTTGTTAGGTGGCACAAGGCAGTCATATGCAAGGTGAATTTTATATAATACTTTTCTCAGTTATCTACTTGTCTCCCCATGAATAACCAGGGTATTCCTCTTTCGCTTTAGGAATACAAAGTATTTCCAGCCCTGTGTAAATTCCAGACATTGCTTTCCCCTGCTCCTTTCAGTTGGTTGTTCTCTAGTCTTGGACTATTTTCTCACATGCGTAAACAGCAGTATTCAGTGAGGACTTAACAGGGACTTTCTGCAGAACCCTGAAGATCTCTCTGTGCAGCTCTCTCCTCTATAGTCTCCTGTCCTGAAAATATAGCCACCTTGGCCACCATAGACACCTAACTCTGTCTCAGGAACTCAGAGACTGCTGATTTTCCCTGGGATTCCCCCTTCCTGCACAGCAGTCTGGAAATTCTCTGAAGGCAATCCGAGGCAATTACGTGGTTCCTTGTTTCCCTCTCCCAGAGATCACTCTTCTGTGCTCCCTGATACCCAATTTCTGAAAATTATCATTTTTGTCAAGTGTTCGATGTTCTAGGTGGGAGTGTAAATCTGGCCCATGTTACACCATTGTGGCCAGAGACAGTAATCTTTTTGTCTTGTTTTGATGTCTTATGACACTCTATTGACTACAAACATGGGGAGAATATTATTTATTATAATAAATATCATGCCAGAGTAGGCAAATAACATAATGAAATTAAGGCTTTCAGGAGTAACTGTGGATTTTGGTGGGGGGGCAATATATGCAAATATTTATTGATAATTTCTAAGTGGAGGATGTTTCTTTAATGACTAAAGTTTTGTTTCCCTTATCTAACTTACATTTGGTAGTGGCAGAGAAATAACAAGATAGCTCAGTAAATACAAACATGTTAGCAGAGAGAGCAGGGAAAGGAGGGAGGCAATTGGAGGGCAGGAAGTGGGTAGAAGAGATATGGCCAGAGAAGCTAATAATGTAGCATTTGAGTGGTGTCCTGAAGAAAGGTTGGGATTGAGTTTTGAGTTTTGAAACATATGTTAGCGTTCCAGGTTTTGTGCTAAGTGGTA